TCAGATTATGTCCAGTGTGTCTAGTCTCTCTGTGCTATCCCTCCAGAGTTATGCGTTGCTCCAGAATGTTCCCTAGGACATGAGCAGTTCCCCTCTCCCATTTCCCAGAACTTTCATCTGGGCATTTATCCATTTTATCATTTGGAGTAGCCATGCTGACCATTTCTCTGTTTCATGACCTTGTTAAAGAATATAAACAAATCCCAATAGTAGTTTTCATTATATTTCATGATCATGAGTATAAATTATTTAGGTGTGGTTTAACTGAATGACTAGTATTTCCTGTCTTTCAAGGGGATACTATCCAGCTGTCAGATGGTTTGATGACCTCCAGTCAGTTTCTGTCATGTGTATGTATGTTGTAAGTCTGTTCTCAGTGGAGAGTGGAGACAGGAATTCTTCAAGAGACTTTTCCAGGCTCCTCAGATATCTTACATACCACTCTAGGGCTCCCAGAGGACTATCCAAAGAAGCCTGGGTAGACTGCTCAAGGCTTCTTATGACCCCATCTTGGGAGTACTGGAACATCACTCCTGCCAGGCACTGGCTTCTATTGGTCAAGAAAGACATCAAAATTCAAAGGAGGGGTGATTAGAATGCAACTTTCTTTGGGAGGAATAGATTGGAGTCTGTAGCTATCTTTAACCCACTATTCCCTGTCAAATATGCCTGATTCTTATATAACTCTTTGGTTCACGTTGTCCAACTACCCACTTTCCATGTAGAGCTTCAGGAAAAGTCTCACAGTATTTTCCTTGATTCTTTTGAGAAATGCCTTTTAGCCAGCATGGTTTCTCTCCCTTTTGATAGATTTCACTGGCTCTTTCTGACTGAGACACGACTGAAAGATACTGCACTTTCTAGCACCTTGTTTAGAGCTGGTAGACTTCATGAATGCTTGCTCCTCCAGGCCCTCTTCTCCTGGTCTTAAAGACATTGTAGTTAGTTTTGTTTTTTCATGTCTATGTGCTCTGTCTTTTAAGAAAGTATTTGTCACTCACCATGCTAAGCCTATCTTGTTTTATTTTGTCTCTAATCTTTGACCTTTATTATGATCTAGAGTGAAGTATCGTTTGGGAATGTCTCATTGGTTTCCTATACAACAAAAATCACACCAAACAACGCCCCTCAAAATTACCTTTTAGAGATATGTGTATCAGTTGCCAAGATTGATAGGCTGGTAATATAGGGAGGACACTGATTATGGTGTGGAAAGCTGTTTCAAGTCTGATGAATAAGGAATTGAGTAGGAGGAGACTTAGGGAATGAACACAAGACATCAGTTGGAGAGACTTCCACACTACAAACATGCTGAGCTAATTTACCTGCAAGTAATTCAGGGTGGCTTTGCAAGAGCATGATGGGAGACCCTGGGATTAGCAAAGGACTTTGGGTTGGCTTTGCCTCTTGTTGTAGAAGCCCTGGTGACTATTAGTTGCTGACAGAGGCCAGGATACAGTAAGTATTGGTGGAATCGAAAGACATTCTTGCTTTGGCTTCTGGCCTTTCCAGTCTAAGTGAGGTCATGTGTGTATTAGCAATGGGATTGTTAACCTTCAAAATACAAATAGAGAGTATGTATTACTTTTGTTTGTGGTTATGACAAAATACTTGACAATGGCAATTTTTAAAAGGGAGTGTTTACTGTTGAAAGAGGAATGCAGTCCATCATGACAGAGAAGGCATAGCAGTAGGAACATGAGGCATCTGTCACAGTATGTCCTTAGTCAGAAAACAGAGATGAGTGCTGATACACACAGCTCACTTGCTTAGTTTTATTCATTCTGGGCCCCTAGCTCATGGGCAGGTGCCACCCTTCTCTCCTAAGTTAAACTTTTCTAGATGTACCCAGAGGTGTGTTTCCACAGTGATGTGAAATCCGGTCATGCTGCCCACAAGGATTAGCTATCACCCTGGGGATGAAGTCCAGCTCCCGTGGACCTGTGTTTGATTTTGGTCAGTTGTGTGTACTTCAGGTTCCTCAGATGTGAAATGAGTGTCAAATTAAAGGCTGACATTGTAATATCCAGAGCTTTGTGGAGTCCTCAGGAGACTTTGATTTGTTTTTCCACATTTATGCTGTGGGAAAGTATGCTTACAACTTTTCTTTGTCCCTGAGATATATCTGGGGTATAATTACTGTATATCTGTATATAGACATCAATGTGAAATTATTCTTAGACATAAATGGTTTAATATTAGCAGTTGATTGCAGAAGACATTGGGCTTGAATTGTTTAATTTAATGCTAATTTGCTTCAAGTGCAAACACTCATCAGGAACATTAGGTAATTATCATTTAGGTACAGGACCCCAATATTGAAATCTTCATTTCCATTTGAGTGTGTATCGCATGTGTAGCTACTCATGGCAACAGTGGGGAAGGAACTGAACATGCATGTTCATTACTGAGATGTGTACTGACAAATTTTGGTTATTAATGCTATCTTTTGTTGAATCTTTTATATGAGGTGCCTATCAAATTTTAGAGAATAATTTTTTTAGTGTAGTTTGCTTAAATACTTAATCTATGGCTGGTCCATGTTGAGGATTGATATGGTGTGTGAAGAATTCTATGATGTGGTAATATTTTGTTTGTGATCCAATGAATAAAAGCTTGCCTGAAGATCAGAATGCAAAGCTAGTCACACTAGTTAGCCAGAGAGGCCAGTGGTGGTACACACCTTTAATCCCAGTACTCAGGAAACAGAGGCAGATGGGTCTCTGTTAGTTCAAGGCCACCCTGAGCTATATGAAATTTATCTAGTCTAAAAGAGAAACTGAGCTCACACAAAAGTGATCCCAGCACTTGGAGTGACATGCCTTTAATTCCACCACTAAGGAGGTGGAGACAGGAGTGATATGGCTGGGCTGAGAGAGGAATTCAAGGCAAAAGAAGAAAAGAGAGGTGTAGTCTGAGGAATAGTGCAGTCTAAGGAACAGTTCAGTGTAAGCAGTTTGAAGATTCAATCTAAGGGCAGGATTGTTCTTTTGGTCTAAGCATTGATAGAGGTGAGAACTCTCTAGTGGCTGGCCAATTTGCTCCTCTGATCTTCAGCATTAACCCCAATCTCTGATTCAGAGTTTTTATTATTAAGAACAATTAGAATCCATGCTACACTGTAACTCTGAATAAAGAAGAAACAAAAGAGAGATGCCCAAATCCTTTCATTTTAATCAATTTATAAGTGGTGAAACAAAGTTCTAAGGCATTTGTCTCATTTGCCCAAGACCACAACATGATGACTTCTAACAATGCTTTACTTCACTATGGTAGGCACTTTCAGAAGTTCTCTGTTCATATTGGCAAGTTCATCCTCAGTGTGAGAGATAGAAGCCATTTATTCCATCATTGTACAGACGGGGAAACTGGGGCAAAGAAAGGCTGTAGCAAATCATCCTTTCTAGGGCACAGTGCCAGAAGTGGCAGAGCCAGGATTGGAACTCAGGAATTTTAGTTTCATAATCTGCTTTTAGCAAAAATGCATTTTTGATTAGAATAGAGAGCTAAAGTGAAGCTGATACTGGAGCCTGGGTCCCTTCCTTCCTTTGAGAGTCCTTTCTACAACACCAGGCTTATTTAAAACACATAGCCTCTTAGTATTTAAAAAATGAGTAGTGCCAGGGTTGCAGTACATGCCTATATTCTCAGCACTCAGAGACAGAGGTAGGAGGATTGAATTATAGATTCAAGGGTGGACTGGGTTGTATGAGACTATTTCAAGACAAAACAAAAAAGAACTGGGGAGAGGGTTCTACCTGTAAACTAATTACTGTACAAGAACAAAGACCTAAATTCAATCTTCTAGATCCACCCTTGTTAAAGAAGCTGGTGCAGTAGTGTGTGTCTGTTATTCTAGAACTGGAGAGGAAGATAGAAAGACACTTCGAGTTCATTGAATTGGTGAGCTCTGGATTCAGTCAGAGATCTTGTATCAAAATATTGGATAAAGAGATAGACACACATATGCACATTCATGCCTACATACATACATGCACACAGGCACATATACATCAAATGTACACACACATGCAAGCACACCTAGTGCACACAGGCATACACACATGCTCACACACATATATGCACACATATGCATAGGTACACACAGAGAACCACTAAAAGGATACCTGGGATTTGTACCCATATTTTTCAGATTTTTGTCTTCTCATAGGAGGCCCAGGAAGGCAGGTCTCCATATCCACATTTCCCCGGGAAAGCTTGAACAACTGCATTCATTAGTAGATAAGAATAGCTGGTAATCAATAATAGTCACACGTGCCAAAGCTAATGGCTGACTATGAAGTGATTTCAATTTATAAGGCTTTTCTCCTCCAGAAATTAGCTAAACTCTTCTAGGAATAATCTTCATATCTTATTTGTTAATGGCTTCCTTGGCTCTTCCTTAATATTTTGTTCCTATATCCAACCCTCTCCACACACACTGGAGTGTTTCATCTTTGATCAGTAAAGCATTCATTTCTCATGGAGTCACCTAACTGTCAGTATAATTCTGTCACTCTCCATCATGGTTATATTCCCAAAATAAATATCCCCAGGCAGTGTGATGCTGTTGGGGTATACTTGTGTCAGCCCTTGAACCCATCAGAGCTGGGGTTCATTCTTGTCTAACAGCCACACAAAAATGAGGGATTCTTTGGCTGTAGCTATGGTCACTCCTTTGCTGTCACAACTGATGGATGTTTATTTCATCTGTGGTTTCTGTTCTCAGTGTGAACTTATAGCACAACCAAGTGCTATTTGCTGAGGCTTTCAGTGAACTAGGACAGCTCACTGGATCCTCAGCCATCATTGGTTTGAAACAATTGCCCATCTCTGCATCTTTTCCATGGAGCTCACCACTAGTGTCTTATTGCTCCCATAAGTAGATGGTACAGGGCTCCAGATCCCCAGAGGCTATTGGAAGTCTGGGCCTACTTCCACTGCTATCCCGGAACAGAGGGCAGGTGGAATTTAACCAGTTGACTTTTCTCTCTTCCTAGGCACTTGTGAGGAAAATCAATACCTCAGACAATATCTACATCATGGAGTCTACCACAGGGAACCTGTTCAGCCTGACCCAGGAGGGGGCTCCTTTGTGCCGCATCATAGCCAAGGTGAATTTCATGGTTGGGGACCAGAGAGCAGGTCTGGGAAATGTAGGAGGAAGATCTGCTTGTTTGATAGGTGGGAAAAGCTGGCTCATATTTGTCCTGGCCACCTCATTAACTTGCCATGTGACTTTGAAAGTTACTTTTCTTGATGTTGCCTAGGCCCCATTATTTCATTTCCCACTTGACACAAAAAGATATAGTACTTAAGGCTCCTTAAAAGAACATAACTTACGAAAAACATATTAAAGTAGGACTTCTTAGAATGGCTTACACAGTGCAGTCTGCTTATACAGTGGCTGTCCTCACACTGGAGAAACTGAGAACCAATAGCTGCTCAGGCCTGGGGGATTCTTGGAGAGCCATTGGCTTCACTCCATGTTGAAGGCCAAAAATGCTGGTTTCTAGTGTCATTAGAAGATGTGGTAGAAGTGACAGCAACTCCTAAGGAGATGAGCTTGTGAACAGAGTGAATGAACTTGCAAACAGTGTAGATGAACTTGCCAGCAAGATATAAATGCAAGTACTCAAAAAAGGTAAAGTTTTCTCCTACGACTTCCTGATAGTCAGACCACTGCTAGTGGCTACTATCCATATTTCAGGTGAGTCTTCCCACTTCAGTTAGCCTAGTTAAGATGATCCCTCACAGCTATGTCAGCCAAGTTGACAGCCAAGGTTAAGCATTGCAGATATGTTCGCAGAACTTCTGCTGTCTCTCTAACCAGGCACCTGTCATAAATGTCAACCCTTCTTTGCCATTCCACAATCTCTTCCTGACAATGTGGTGCTACTGGTGTAATGGTACAAAGACCATCTGGCATATAGCAACAATGCCATAAATAAACAAATCCATAAACATTGATTTTTATAGGATGCCTTTTCACCATGGAAGAAAAATGTAGTGTCTTAAACAGGTCAAAGAAAAGTTTTAAAATATAGCCTTACTTGTCTGTAACTGAGCTCCATTCTCATCCCTTAATAGCTCTCATGATAACTCCTAATTAGTAGCAGTGTTGTCAGAAGAAATAAGATGAATGTGTCTGTAAACATGAACTTCATCTTGTCAGACACATGTGTTCTTCAGGAATATGTCTGAATATCCCCCCTCTAAGCTTCTTGGTTGGACCTTCAAATGCTGATAACCACTCCAGCACTTTGTAGGAGAAGGAGGAAATAAAAACAGACCACTATGTAAATCACTAATTTCCTGATTGACTAACCTTGACGGTGTCTCTAGGACCAAAGTGAGGCTTGTTGTTTTCTTCCCTTTTCATGGGAGAAGTGATGTCACTATAGAACTAGTGGAGCTTGGTGTCAGTCTTAGGAGAAGGATCCAGGTATGTGGTCCCCAATCCCATCTATATCACAATCCTTCAGAGAGTTTGAAAACACCAGATACTTTTATGTCACCATGAAGTTACTGCAATTCTGGGCTATGCTTGGGATTCTTCATTTCCGTGTGTTATTTGGGGGGCAAACAAGTTATGCAAGACATGAACAAGAGTGACAATGTCAACTATGGCCATTAAACGCAATTCACTTATTCCCCGAACAGAGCTGACAAACCTTTACTCCAATGTCATTTCTTCAAGAGCTTTGGTCAGTGACTGCAATTTTTCATCCCCCATCATTAGCTATTAGTGTTTTCAGAAGAAATAGGAAGATTTCAGAAGAAACATGAACTTCATCTTGTCAGATATGTGTGTTCTTAAGGGGTCTGTCTGACTTTGGATAAGTTCCTCAGGACATAAACTCTATTATAAATGGGCCCACTACATGGGGTAATAAATGGGCAGTTCAGATTTAGAACCAAGAGCCCTGGTTCCAAGTTCATGGCCCAAAACCTACCATGGTGATTCATGCTTCAAGCCTTAGGCCCAAGTGTGACTCAGAATCACAGCAGAGTTTTAAATAATTTCTAATTGGTCTGGAATGGTAGATAGGTTTGTTTTCCAGGTGATTTCTAATCTCTTGAAAACTACTACTCTCTTTCAGAGTCATTAGTTGAAATTGTACTTGAATGAATATGGCAGTACTGGGGAAAAGGAGATAAGAAGAGCACTGGGGCTGTCTCTCCCAAAGATTCTGACTCCATCATTCAACTTAGTGGAGAGTCTTGACCTGCAGAGGTCGCATGGTACTGTACAGAGCAAAGACAATTTTCAACTTTTCAGCTATGGAGATTAAATTCCCACAGACTCAAATGAATTTCTTTTGGAACAAAACATTTTTTTCCCTTTTAAAAAAAAAGTAGCAAACCTTGGCTGGCCCAGGTTTTCAAACCCCCCTTTGTGTGCTGCTGGTGTAGGCAACACTTACTACTGCCTCCCCCATGTGTCTTTTTCATGAAAACAGAGAGTAGACATGAGTTTGAGTGTAAGCCAAGGGTAGTACTTAACTTCCTGCTAGTTAGTCTCCGAAGAGGTCTGGGAGCCACCCTGGCTTAATATTGATTCCAAACATGTCCAGTGGGAGGGAGTAAGCCGGGAAGAAAGGCCTGTGCAAAGGTCACGGGCAGTTCTCATACCAGCCCTCCTGTTAGCCCATGGCATGAGGCTAGCCAGGTCTGGTGCCATCAACCCTACCTCTGTGAAATGTGGGATTTTAAGAGATTTCCTTAATCTACCACAGTGTCTGGCCTTCCTGGCGGGAAGGTAAGCCTGCAGTACTCATTTTGTCAAACTCCAGTCTGAACAGCCATGGTGAGCTGTTTTCCTCATTTGATCACTGCTTCCTCCATTTCCTTCTCTCTCCCACTCTCTCCCCTGCTACCCACACAACTCCAGGCTCCAAGTGTAGCCTGGGCTCTTCACAGTCTTGACTAGAAGTTTCACATATTTGTCATGACACTTTGAGCAATACCCAATGATAGACTCTCTAAGGGAAGCCATGTACCTTGTTGAATATTAGTGACAAAAACAATAAAAATTACTGTGTTCTTGTTTTTCCTCATGTGCCAGGCCCTAGACTGGTACTTTGGGCATCACTATGATGTTTAGTCCATACACATTTTCTGAGATGAGTGTCAGTGCTCAGTCACACATAAGAACTCCAGGACACATAGTACCCGGCCCAGCACTTGCTTGAAAAGCTTTTCTTACCTCTGGATCCCATGTTCTCTTAATTTCTGCAACTTAGAATCCCTCCCTGACAGGGCCAAGTCCCTGCTCCAACAACTCCATCTCTGTCTCAATCACCATTTCTTCTTTCTTGGCTTCTGGTTCATTGCACATTGAATGATTAACTTTCCCTGTGTATGAGGCTGGTGAAAGTCAGGACTTGAAGGCATTGGTGGGAGTTGAAGAGACATAGAGCCTGAGTTTCCTAAAGCTGGAAATGGTCACTGCGGTGATGATGATGATGATAGACAGATAGCTAGACAGATGGATAGACGATAAATAGAGTAGCATCCATATTAAAACCAAAACAATATAGTATTCCTACAGTACTTACTATGTGCCTGATAATGTTCTGAGTGCTGGTTTAAACCTTCCCAAACCCTGTGCAGAAGTCAAAGTCCACTCCATCTGCACTAGACTGCTCTTTAAAGATGACATGCCCTTGGCTGTTCTCAACTCTCTCCCAACAATGTTGCTTCTCTTCTCCCTTTTACTTTCCTTCTTTCCTTTTCTTTTTCTTCTCCCTACTGTCCTACTCCATGTGCCTCCATATCTTTAATTAGTGACCAAAGAACTATATTGTACTTTCCACTTGGTATTGCAAATTGATGGACCAGCCATACTCAGGTGTGTTAAGAATTATAGTTGCTACCTTATTTGTGTATATATGTATATTATGTGGTGTATGTGTCGCATGTGTATAGGCCCACATGTGTGTGTAGCTACACATGTAGGTACATCAATTTGAATGCCTGTGGCCTGTTTGCCTTGATTGCTCTCCACCTTGTGCATGGACCTCACTGACTTGGTTAATCTAGCTAGCCTGCTTGTTCTGGGACTCCATTGCCTCTACTTCCTATGTGCTGGAATCATAGGAGGATTACCAAGCCTACCTGGCATTTACCTGGGTGCTTGGGATCTGAACACTTGTCCGTACAGTTGTGCACCAACTGCTTTACCCACTGATCCATCTCCTCAGACCCCATAATTCACATTTTTAAAGGGAAGAAGCAGGTTCTCAGTGAGTCAGGTCTTGTCTTATGTTGTGCCCGTTCATGTAGAGCTGGAATTTTAACCAGGTCTTCTGATGCTGCCAGTCTTCACATCAATCTGTGTTTGGTCCCTGGAATGAATTAGACTGAGGGTAGAAACAGGGAGAGGATGCAGTGATGTATTCTATCTTTTCAATCTAAAAGATAGCAAAATGTGTTACAGTAGCAGGAGTACCACATGGGAGTTCAGTGCTGACAACATCCTACCTCAGACACTCAGTAAAGAACTCAACACTGGGATCTGTGTGAGAAATTCCCCCAGTGGTCTTCCTCATGACCCCTACAGAGCCCACTGTGATCTCTGGGTCAGCTGCTCCTAGTTGAGAGCAAGGCAGTCTGTTTGAGGTCTGTCCTCTGAGTATATATGAATCCAGACACCCATGAATGAGCCCATTCCTCTTATATTGATGGTAGCAGCCCTCTCCCCTCCCCAAGCAGAGCACACTATGCTGTGTCACAGTCACCCCAGCTCCTCTGTGATTCCTTCCATCACCAGCCTACACACCCGGGAGTGGCCCCTGCCAGCATTATGACAGCTCATCCCAAGCTGTCTGAATAATTCATACTGTTATGCATCTGGGCTGAGAGCCCAGAGCTCTCTGTAAAATTAAACAAGCCCCAGCCAACAGCGTGATCTGCTAGCTCAGTCAATCCCAGTGTTACCCCAGGATAAGTGCTGCCTTAACTCCTGGTGGGGGCTCTAGGGTGGTCAGTGAGATAATCTGTCTAAACTCCCTGGTAGCTCTCTTTCCTGCTTCTCTTTTTCACATGCCCTGGGCCTTGACACACACGAGGGGACAATGCCACCTTCTAATGAGAAAGCCTTCCATAGCCTAACTCTCACCGCACTGTTCAGAGAGCTAGCACCAGGTTCTTCAACAGCTCAGCTGCTGTTCCTGCTAAATAGTTACATAGCATTTTAGCCCAAACTAACCAGACATGGAGCTAGGATTGAGACCCAAATCCCCTTAGCAGGGATCTAGGACTTTCTTCTTTTTATAATTGAAAATGCTAAGGAGGATATTTTTCACAGACTTGAGGAAAAACATAGTGAGGACCCAATGCAAATGTAGAACTCAGATTTGCTGGCCTCAATGCTTTTGAGCCAAAGGAGGCTCAATTGATAAATATAATAAAATGATATCCATACAACTTAAATGACTAAATATTGATACATCCAGCCTGGTACATGGTAACGTCCTAATATCCTTGTGGTGTATTATTAAAAATCTGACAGAGGATAGTATTTTGCTGAACTCATCTTCCTATAGCATTTTGCTTGATTCTGGGAACAGGTGCCAGGACAGTTAGACTTGGGAGTGATGGGTAAGGTTACTTGAAGAAACCATCCTGAATGAGGTAACCCAGTCACAAAAAGAGGAACATAGTATGTACTCACTCATATATGGCTTTTAGACCTAGAGCAAGGGATCACCAGCCTATAATTCACACCATCAGAGGAATACAAGGTGTATTCTAAGAGATTCATATAAGGTCCCTCACAGAAGGGAGAAGGGACAAGTCCCCCAGAGCACAAGGAAAGTGGGGGGGGGCAGTGACTGGAGAGAGAAGTAGGAGAAAGAGAGGGGGAGGAGAGGAAAACACGTGCGACTAGGAAGATTGAATCCGGGTAGGAATAGAAGACAGGAGAAAGAGACAGACAGACAGACACACACACACACACACACACACACACACACACACACACACACACAGAGAGAGAGAGAGAGAGAGAGAGAGAGAGAGAGAGAGAGAGAGAGAATGAGAGAGAGAGAACATAAAAGAGGGAGCCAGTATTGGTTTGAAGAGAAAACTGAACCTAAAGAAAGGTCTAGAGACCTACAAGACTGCTGCCAACTAAAAATTTGAGCAACCATGGAAAGGTTACCATAAATGTCCTTCCCGGATAGTGAGATCAACAACTAACTTATCCATGGAGCCCTCATCTAATACCTGTTGGAAACAGAAGCAAACACCCATACCTAAATACTGAGTTGAACTAGAATCCAAATGCAGATGGAGAGGACAAGACCAGATTGTAAAAACACATAGAGACAGCTGACCTGAACAAGGAGGAGCTATGGGCCCCCAGACTGATAGCTGGGAATCCAGCATGGGACCGACTCAGGCCCCCCTGAATATGGGTCTCAGCCAGAAGGACTAAGAAGTCTAAGGGACCTCAGTCAGTGGAACCAGGATGTATCCCTGATTCACAAAAGGACCTTGCGAACACATCCCCCCCCCCTGGAGGGATAACTGCCTTTACCTAGAGACAGGAGAGAAGTCCTAGTCCCTACTTCAAATGACCTGATAGATCTACATGACCTCACCTGGATGGCATTGCCCTACATGTGGAATTGAGGTGGGGGAGGGGAGGGGAGGATGGTCAGGGTGCATGTGAGGGTGCAGAGAGGGTAAAAAGGGAGGGAGGGAGACGGAACTGACTGTCCTGAGGACTTAGATCCCCTAAATCCCTTGCTTACTCAATGCCACCTCTATATACATTCCAGCCCTTGGAAAAGGGAATAAAGGGGAAGGAGGCAAAGCAGGATGGGGGGTGGCACATACCAACTTTTGCTCTGAATTCACTAGGCATTGTTGCTGTTGGTCTGTAAGTACTGTGGTGTGTCCCCTGTGTGGTCTGTGAGTGTTTCACTTGGAACACTGAAGGACTGCAGTGATGATTAAAGAATACTTCTTGTGCCCAGATTCCACTGGGGGTGCACACTCTTTTGGGCAGTCTTCATGAGATAAGAGAAGGAAAACCCCATTAGCAGTGCCTACCAAGGACAAAGGACTCACACGCAAGAGCTGCATGAGTGTCTTGAAAGTGGTTGTCTCCCTCTACAAATCCACGCAAGGTTGACATGGATTTAGGGGGAATTGTCTTCCCCATCTGGCCTTTAGTAGTTTTATTTTCCCCAGAATACAGTGAGAATGAATAATAGACCTGATATAAACATTCTTGGTGCCTGCCTTCTGTGGCATGGGAAAGAGCAAGGTGAAGCATGGCAGCAGATGGAGTGAGGACAGGCACTGAATTCTAGACCCAGTTGCTTTATCTACTTTCACAGTCTACAGGACCTCTTCTAGTGATGTCAGAGCTGCTCTTCTGGGAGCTGAGCAGAAGGGTCTGGATCTTCAACCCTACCAAAATGTCTGTTGCTGGTCCCCAAACCCCAGAAGCATCTGGGGAATCCTACTTCCCACTGGGGCTATTGGGGATCAGAACTTCATTGTCTAAGTGTGTGTGAGAAGTACACCAAAACATGTCTGCTGAATGAGGGCTACCAGCTACTGTTGAGTCAATCCAAGGAAGATCTCAAGGTAAGTTCACGTGATATTCTCTTCTCTGCAGGAAGGTGGAGTTGTAGCCCTCTTCAAGGTCTGCCGGCAGGACAGCTTCCGGTGCATGTACCCTCAGGCTCTCCGCACACTCGCCTCTATCTGCTGTGTAGAAGAGGGTGTCCATCAGCTGGAGAAGGTAAAGGCAGTGGTCTCAGTGGGCCGATGTCTCTGAGCCAGCTGGCATTGGGAGCCTGGTGGTGGCATTTGGTTCTCCTTATGTAACAAGTCCACCCTAAGCCCCTTCTTCTGCCAGGACCTTTTCAGATGGAACTGTTAGGTATATTGACTGTGGGGTTTGATGAAACAAAGGGAAAAGGAACCCTGGGATCTCACCAGGAATGACAGATCTAAAGGGACACTAAGCATTTTCAGGCTAGGGTGACAGATCAAGAGAGTCTAGTGTGTGAGACAAGTTCCTGGTAGGAAAGCCAGCAGAGACTGGTTTGAAAGTTTGGGCCTATCAGTCCTTTCATGGCAGAAAGTCAGAGGAAGTGGATTAAGATCACTGACAGATGAAAGTGGCAAGAACAAGATGCCATTGGGTATTGTGCCAGTCAATTTTCCATCCTTGTGACAAAACACCTGAGATGATTAGCTTAAAGGAAACAGGTTTAATTTGGTTCTTAGTTTCAATCCAAGGTTGATGAGATCCGTTCATTACACTGGGCTTGGGGTAAGGCAATGCATCATAATGGTAGAGGAGAAGGTTAAGATGTATTATGTATTGTGTTATGGCAGCCACCATGAAGAGAGAAGGAATGGAGGGGGGACTTTTTGCTTCTGTTTTTATTTCCTCTGGGTGTTGGCCCATGGGATGGCATTACCCACATTCCAGTCTTCTCTACCAGTTCCCTATACCAGCCATCTCTGGAAACTCCCTTACAGGTACACCAAGAGGTATGCTTTACTAACTTCCTAGATGTCACCCTACCAATCGAATTGGCAATCAATATTAACCATCACAGGGCTTAGGGAGGCTCCATTTCATGAAGACCTATACAGCTTGGGTAGGAGAACTGAACCAGTCCAAGGGCTTGCTGGACCAATGTATCACAGGTAAGTGTGGGGTCAAATAAAGAATTTGGTGCTTTGGAGGCACCAAGAGCTTCTGTGTCAGCCTAACCTGGGGCAATATATCTAACCTCAGATACTAGCCTGGAGGGTTGGGGAGGCTAGATTGATATTTGGAGTTTTCCCAACTTAATTTAAAGGAAGTGTGATGAACATTCTTGTGGCTTAAAGTGCAGCGTGTCTCAGGAAAGCTGTGGTGACTGTGTGTTTCGGGTGCTCTGGATCCATCCGGAGAGTTTGTCTGGAGGAAGAACAGCTCTCCTTCCTTCACACTTATGTCCCAAGCCTGAGCCCATCCACCAGGTGGCCCCAGCCTTTCCCCAGTTTCTTATGCTTAGGTCTAGATTCTAAGGTAATCAGTCACCTGCCTCCCCACTGTGACCTAGGCAGAGGAGTACAAAGTGCTCTTGGTCAAGGTGTAGGATGAAGAGTGGGTCCACTTCTTTTACAGCTCCCAATGGGGAAGTCATTTATGTAAAGCCATGTAGCAAGATAGCAGACAAGCTAGTACTTGCCTTTAGAGCAGAATGCTTTCTTCCCACTTGGCTAGAAATTTTGTCCCTAGTGGTATGCTGAGAGCCCTGGATTCTAGCTAGTATGTTGAGGTTAATGGTGTCCATGACTGGGTCCCACTACTTGATGGGCAAATGGGTTTGAAGGAAGGAAGCTACCTGAGTAAGAACTTAGAGCTAAGGTTGTGGAAGAGCCCAAATCAAATCCTAGATCTTCCAAGACTAAACTGGATATCATTTCTCTCCCTCCCAGTACACCGTCTGAATGTGTAAGCATAGTGTGTACGTGTGTGCAATTGCTTGCATGGTGACGAGGCAGATAAACTCAATGAAGGAAATGGGTTAAGTATGTTAAGCTTATGTGCTGCATAATCCACTAGCATCCCAGCTCTTACAAATCTTTCCTGGATATTGACCAAATGGCCAAATGAGATTTGTTTCTCATTCCTTTATTGTGGCTTGGTAGGGCTTGGTAAGGAGCATAGAGGAAAAAGTAGGGGGGCTGATAGCACCAGACTGGGAGTTTCTTGGTTTCAAGGAGCTTTAGGAAGAAACCAAGGAAGAATCACAGCAGCACTTTCATGCTTGGGGCTGAAAACAGCAGCTATAGTGATTGGAGGCAATGCACTGTGCCCATCTGATGCTGTTCACAAAAGCTAGGATACTTCAGCTCATCTTTTCCAGGGCTGGGTTGGCTGAATGTCATATTTTATCTCTGAAAATGAGAAGGGATGTTCATCAATGAGAATATATGCAGGGTCCTGACTACCGCAGTGCACACATACCATCAGTATCACCAGCGACTTGTGAGCCTCACACTACAAACATCCCTAGCTTAAAGATGAGGAGCCACAATCTCAGGCAGTTTGGGGGACTTGTCGAAAATCACATCATTAAGCCAGGTGGTGGTGACACACACATTTCATCCCAGCATTTGTGAGGCAGAGGCAAGCAAATCTCTGAGTTTGAGGCCAGTCTGATCTACAGAGCAAATCCCAATACAGTGAGAGCTACAGAGAAACTTTCAAACAAACAAACAAACAAACAAACAAACAAACGTATCATTAGAAAGTGGTATAGGCAGGATTCAAATCTTGATTCCAAACCACTCAGAATCCCTACCTTGCTTTCTTCATGGATACTCTGAGAATACTAGAAATGCTTCTATGACTTAACCCAGATCACCTAGCCCCCACCCCAAGAGGAAAAGATGAGGTGGCCTCTAAATCAGATTGTTAAGGCATTGATAAATACCTGGTCTCCTTCAGTCACTTTACATCACTTAGGGCTGCTCCTTCCTTCTGGCTGCCAGTCATCCATTCACTTGCCCTCTCATGATGGTCATCACTCACTCATTCTACAGACTCATTCTTTCATCATGTATCTGTTGGGAAACCATCTCTTCAGTGCAGCAGAGCCCTGCGGACTTTGAGAGGCAGGCTGTTCTTGGTTCTCCACACTATGAGTTTTGAGAACTCACAAGTTTCTCCAGGTGACTTCCTGAGCCTCTCGGACCACACTTTCCTGATGAATGGGTACATTGAAATCTCATGGGATTGTTGTACATATGTCACTTAGTTCACAGTGGTACTGAGTCACTGGTATCATCATGTGATCAAGGCAGTGTCAATGTCAAAGGCTTTGGGGGAGGCTGGGCTCTGGGAGGTTATTGCTTGTAGAAGGATGTGGTCTAGCCTCAGAGAGAGGGCTGTCCTAAGAGAAGAGGTGATGAAGTCCAGTGTGGATGATCTGGGTGGAATTGGAATGCCAATCTTCCCCTTTCCACTTCATAGATGGGGAAACAGAGGTTCAGAGATGATGGTGGACATGTGGAGCATGGACACTAATATAACTCTGGCTTGGTCCAAACCCCATGTTTTATCTCTCTGCCACCTTGGAAAGTTATGGCCCTTCTGAGATGGGGACCACAGCAGAATGGCTCCCTTGGAGCTGGGCACAAGGTGTTGGTCAGGAAGGGGTTAGAGCCAGAAAAGATAAACCATCAATACCCACATGTCTCTCTGGCAATGCCCAAGCGGTCGTCCATGCAGAGGTCTAGTTTAGTTCATCCACAGGCTCCACACTGTTTTGCTATCCAGGATCAGTTCACTTCTAGAAGTCACCCATGCTTTTTCTGTGTCCTTGGTAGACAGTCATCTCTCACTAACTGGTCCTGTGCTAGGCTCAGGAGAGAAGGTAAGCAGCTTATTCCAAAGGCCAGTCATAGAGATCATAGGAGTACAGATAGAGGGGAAGGCTGACCTGTGACCTCAGAGCAGGCTCCCTCCTTTCAGAATTCCTGGTGAAAGAGAACCAAAGAGCCAGTGCAGACCTGGTCACAGTGGGTGTATAGCGGAGCTTGAACGCAGACAGCTATCTTAGGAGATGCAAAGGACCCTGTGGCTGGCCATTGACCTGTGGGGCAGTGTGTTTCTAAAAAGCTCCTTGCTCAGTGAATCAGGGGAGCCCAGAGAGACAGATTGCATTTGGGAGATGACTGGAGCAAGATGACCCAGAGCCCAGAATGAGGTGAGGGCTTTAAAAGTCACACAGCTCCACGACAGAAGACACATCAAACTCTGTTGAGGTGGGCAGATCTTTGGCTTTGTCTGCAATGCAATGAAGAGATACCTCCCTTGTTAGAGGGTAGTAATATGATGGGTCTTTAATGGATACTTGTGTGGGAGAGATGACATATCCTGCCTGTGTCTAGCTTGTTTGTCTCCTAGGGAGACTCTGCATTGTCCTCCACAAAGAGACTGGGTGCTGAGGATTTTGCAATGGCCTAGTAGAGTTCCAATAGTTCCTAGTAGAGTGACTAGTGGGGGCTGGATGCTGCTGGCTCAAAGAATTGGACCCAAGAAGATCAGAACTACTGTGCACATGGCCCAGATGAAGAGCTGGGGACGTGCAGAACAAAAAGATGCCGTCTAAATCCAGAAGGGGTGGGAGACATTCAAAACCCAGTGCTCAGCCAACTTTACCCAACTCTCTAGACAGTTCTAGAAACTGCTCTTCTAGTCTTAGAGACAGTCTCACCTTCAGAAGAACATTCTGTTATTTTTACCCCTCATTTTGTGTGTGTGTGTGTGTGTGTGTGTGTGTGTGTGTGTGTGAAATAAGGAGTTGGTTCACTTCCTCCTGGAGCCAAAGGGAGACTTTAATGAAGATCGATAAAGAAATTAAAGATGAGCAGGGAAGGGTAGAAGCACTCAATTTCAAGTCACGGTAGAAAATCTCTGGGGGTGTGGGCAGGGAAGCTGCAGCTTTCTTCATGCAGCAGCTCTGGGCTGGATGGAAGATGGAGACAGGGAGGCCTAGGCAGAGACCCTGGCCAGGAAGAAGTGGGCTGCAAAGGCCATTCCTTTTCTCCTCCATAATCCAAAAGAGGCCATGGTGGTCACAGTGTGCAGCCCTAGGGCAAGGCAGCCACTTAGTTTGCTAGCTTTGGTTCTGAGTTTTGAGTGTGCTGTGTCCGAAGAGCAAGGATGTGGATGCCTTAGGTTTGACTCATGGCCCATTATTTCCCCAGGGGAATCTCTGATTAAGAGAC